AGCGATTCTCCTGCCTCAGCCTCCCGAGTAGCTGGGATTACAGGCGCACACCACCACACCCAGCTAATTTTTGTATTTTTAGTAGAGACACGGTTTCACTATGTGGCCAGGCTGGTCTCAAACTCCTAACGTCAGATGATCCACCCACCTTGGCCTTCAAAGTACTGGGACTACAGGAGGGAGTCACCGCACCCAACCTAAAATGTTTTTCAGATTCCAAATTCCAGTGAAACAAGTGACCCCAACCAGTTCGAACAGCCCAGAAGAACTTAATCAGCATGAGAACACGGTTTTTTCATCTCCCGGGCCCCATGACTTCACTCTGCACTCTTGAACCTATCAAAAATCTCCACATTTTGACTTGTTCGAAAACTCTTAGGAAACCTAGCCCCAAACTTCTCGGAGAGAGATTTGAGGTTTTCTCCCATCTTATCTGGCAGCCCTGCAATTAAACCTCTTTCTTCTGCTGCAAACCGGTGTTTTGGGTGTATGGACTTGCCCTGCAATCAGGCAAGGGACCTATGACAGAGACACTGGCTGTGTACCCTCCGTGTCCCAGACATGGTCCAAAAGCAAGTCCCACCTGGCCCTGCCCTCCAGGGCTCCTAGTGTTGGGGGAGCAGAGGCACACAGGAACAGGCAATTGTACAGTGCCACGAGAGTGCCAGCTCCATGGGGCTGGGGCAATGTGGAAGGGGCTGCGTTGCAGAAATGGCTCCATGGTGAACCTGAAAATGAGGAGTCACTGTCATCCAGCAGGAGAACAAAAGGATGGTCCTCCATGCATTCATTTAGCCAGTGCTGCCTGAGCACCGCGGAAGGCACTGGGCATACACTAAAAAGGAGAAAGGACTGGTTATAGCCCCATGAACCACCACCATGGAGAAGCACACATGAAGGCAACGGATTAATTCACTGTGACTGTAAAAAGGAGGTACAGGGGGTATGAGAATGTGTCACTAGGGACCTGATGCATCGTGTGTGTGTGTGTGCGCATGCGCGCACACCCAAGGCCACTGAGACCTGACGTTTGGAAGAGCAATAGGCAAGGGTGATTTATGAAGAGTATGCCAGGCAGAAAACACAGCAGGTGTGAAGATACCGAGGCAGCAGAAGCATGATGGGAAGGTCAAGGTGCCTGAGGTGGACAGGGAGAGGGTGTTGTGGGAACAGGCTGGAGGTCTGGGAGGCTCTGCCCTAATCAGCAGGTGGGCTTTTCCTCGGGCTTGTTCCTCCTGCGGTTGCAAGTAGCTGGTTCTAGGGATCCTTTCCTGCCACAAGATGTCCAGTGGAAGACGAAGGGCGGCTTGTGTGTGTGTGTGTTTTCCTGAGACAGTGTCTCATTCTGTTGCCCAGACTGAGTGCAGCCGCCCTCGACCTCCCGGGCTCAAGCCATTCTCCCATCTCGGCCTCCCAAAGTGCTGGGATTACAGGCTGAGCCACCATGCCCTGCCTTCAAGGCAAGGAGTCTTTTCTAGAAGACCTCTGGCCTCAGGCCTCACCTCTCTCCTTGGCCGCACCTGGGTCAGCTTAAGGGGCTCACTCACAAGAATAGGTGAAAAGTCCCTTGGGATTCATCCCTGCGTCACATGGGAATGATGCACACCAGAAGGATGCCGGGCTCTGCCAGTCCAGCCCCACCAGCCTCCTGGAGTGGCCCCGAGGCGCGCTCTCCAGGCCCTAGGACCTGCTCCTGGAGGCGGGGGCTCCTGGAAGCGACCCCGACACTGCTCCAGGTGTCTCTTCAAGGACTTTCCCACATTTTACAAAGAAACCTTTTGGGGACAGTCAGCAACAAGTAACCAGTCGTGGAACTGTGGCAGCCCTGGGGTGAGCGTGAGAAACCCGTGCTCCGCGCCGGAGATCTCAGACTGGAGAAGGGAACGATCTCCTACGCAGACCTGCACTGCAGCACCTGGGCTGGCAGCCAGATTGGGGACATCGTCCCCTGCTGGGAGGCCAGAGAAGGCAGGGAGCGCGCCTCGAGTCCGCTGGCTGAATCTCCCCAGAACTGGAAAGCACCGCCTAGTCGGTACCTTTGAACTGAAACGCAAAGCCCACGGGCGCGCAGTCCGGAGAGGAGGCGATTGCGGGTGGAGGTAGTGCCAGGGTAAGGACGTGGAGCGGGTGGACAAGAACCGCTAGGGGACCGCTGGGGCATAACGGGCTTTGGGAAGAAGGGGCCGCTGCAGCCTGCGCCCCACCCCAGGGCCGGGCCTCATCCGGCGCTCAACCAGTGCCACGTTGAGTCACCTACCGGCAGGGAATACTCCGTACCGGGGCCGCGCGCGTGAAGTGCCGGGGGATGTTGGACCCCAGTCCATCCGGGACCCGCCCAACAAAACCGTCCAAGGCCGGAGGTTACCGGTTTGTACCGAAGGGAAGCGGTGTGGAAGGGAGGGGGGTCTCCTGCACGTGGCGCAGGAGCGCACGTGCACGGCCCCCCCCCCCGCCCGTGCTTCGTTCTCACGTGTACGGCCCCGTGCCCCGAAGCCCCTCCCCGGGGAGTGTCGGGGCGGGACCCCGCCGGGCGGCAGCGCCCCACTCAACAAAGCGTCCCGCGGGCCCTGCCCCATGACTCACCGCTGGGTGGGACGGGCGCGCGGGCAACTCGCGGGCCCAGACGGGGTAGCGAGGGCCGAAAGCCCGGCTCCAGACTCGGCTTCGCCCCCACGACCTCTGGCCGCCTGAAGTCCCGAGGGGCCGTAGCCCTGGGTCGTCTCCCCTGTTCCCAGCCCCTAGTCCCAGCTGGCAGAGAGAAGTTCCCGAGGCCCCCGCCCTTGCAGGGCTCCTTGCCCCGCCCAGAGCTGAGCCTTCCGAGGATCTGAGGACCGAGTCCAGTCCGGCTCCCAGGAAGGGCCGGGATCCTGGGGCAGGGAATAAGGGGCGGGGGCTGGCTCCAGAGTCGGGCGGGGGAGGGGCAGTAACAGAGATGGGGGCTGAGCCTCTGGTCTGGGAGCGTCGGGAGGCGAGTGGCGGGATGGAAAACATTCCTGAGACAGTTGGCTTGGATTTCCGAATATGGGAAGCTAGGACTTCAGCTATGGTGGCTCTGCTCTTGGGATGGGAGGACGGGCCCAGCTTGCGAGGAGTCATGAAGTGAACACAGGGTGGGAACGTGAATTTTAATGAGGGGGCAGACCGAGGAGGTGGCGGATGCCCGGAGGTCTGGGCCAGGCTCTGCTGGATGGCGCCTGGAGGAGGGTCACCCAAGTCTCCCTGCTGTTATTTCAGGAGGCCGAATTTTTTCCCGATCCCAGAGAAGGTGTCAGAGGCCTGGCTAGCAGTCTTGTCGATGGTTTCCTGGGTGGTCTTGGCCAGCTGGTCCATGGCTGGGGAAGGGCAGGAGAGAGGGCAGGTCAGGCAGGGCCCCGGGAACCAGTGCACGTAGGTTTAGCCTGGCCTGGGTCTCCAAGGGACCTGCTTGGGGCATTGTGCACAGAGGGCTCTGCATAGGAGAGGATGTGCCTGGGCCCCGGGCGGGGGTGGGGCGGGGCAGTGGAAGGTGTGCTGGGGTTGCCCGCCTCCCTCCAGCCCCACCAGACCTTTCTGCCCCGCCTCTGTGGCCTGATCCACCACTTGCTGAGCTGCTGCTCCGGCCGCTGACACTGGAACAGAGAGATGTGGCTTTTAGCCCCTGTTGAGGCACCACTGACCACAGGTACCCCACCATTGCCATGCCCCTCATGTGTTCTCCAGAATATTCGGTGGTACAGGTCCAAGGGATGGATGCCATGGAGATGAAGTCCCTGGCCCAGGGCCGCCCAGCCCGAGGGGCAGGATCCCTTTCCATGCCTCTGGGATGTTTTTGTTGATTTCTAACTCTGAGCTCCTCCTCTGTGGGGGAGGAGCTTCCCTTTCCATCTCCAGGGCTGCTGAGAAAATGTTGGACAGAGGAAGGCAGGCAGGGCAGGGCCAGGCTGCAGCTAGCATCTGGACTGTTGGCTAATGCTGGGCGTAGCCCAGAAGACCCCTGCCCCCTTTTACAGCTTCTCGGCTAGAAGCCTGGCCCAGATGCCTGAATTCCCACCTTTCATGCACTTGGCCCTGGGGCTTGGACTTTTGCCAGGTTCTCACTGCCTCCCCCCTCCTGTGGCCTCCCCCGGACGGCACACAAGCAAAGCCAGTGCCTCTGTGGACAGGCAGCTCAAGGCATTAGGAGACAAGCGCAGGAAGGAGGCAAAACTTCCAAGGCCGGCCATCTCCTCTGGACCACAGTTCCGCCTGCCAGGAATGGAGTCACCAGCCCCCGGTGGGCTGACAGGTGGCTCCGGCCTGCAGAGCGGTAACTCGTCCCTGCTGCTGAACAGGAAAGGGCCTGCCTTATCCAGACCCCATCCTTCGGAGAGGGTTAGTGAGGCAAGTGTGCGGAGAGGCCCCTGGGAACGTCCTCTCGATTTAACCCATCAGAAAGCAGCCCATCCTTTGCACCCAGCTCTCAAATGGAAAAGTGAAGCCCAGAAGGAAAGAAGCTGACACGGAGGCTTCCTTGGTAGCATTTTAGTCTCAAGGGAAGAACTGTGAGCCTCCCCTGGGGCACTGGTGAAGGAAGGGGTTGGTTTGGATATTGTCTCCTGACTGGGACATGAGCAGGACTGATAAGGAACTGTAGTCCTGAGGAAGGCTGGGCTAGGTACAGGAAGAGCCCACCCAGTGAAGCAGTGGTCTCCTCACATCTCCCATGCCCCCACCGCAGCTGGGTCACCTCCAGAATAAGGAGGAGAGAGCTGGAGGTGGAGGAACTAAGGACCTTCTTTGCCAGATGGGGACTTAAAGGTAAGAAGATGATTACTTTTCGGGGTTGGGGATGGGATGGAAACAAAGCCCTTTGGGGTCTGGGGCAGACTCTGGTGGCGGGCGCGCTTGGAGGTGGTGGCGGGCCGCCCCCGGTCCTGGTCCCGGACCTGGACCTGGACCTTCACCCTTGCCTGAGGGCCTGGGTGGGGCCGCCTAGCGCCGGCATGTCCTCCTCTGAGGGGCTTCCGCAGTGCCCGCAGCGCGGCTCCGGCTCCTCTGGAGCCTCTGTTCCGCTGCCTCCCTCCGGGCATCATCTCTCCGCGGACCGGGGTGGGCGTCCTGCTTGCCCCTGCGTCTCAGTGGAGGACCGAGCCTTCCGAGCCAAGCTGCCGGTCCGCGAACTTGCCGACCGTGCAGACCCGCCGCTTCTGCCTGCGCGTCCACGCAGCTGCCCCTGCCTGGGCCCTAGGTCGCGCGCTGTACTCACCGGCTTCCTGGGCGGTCCCCTCCACCTGTTGCTTCAGGTCCTGCAAGCCCTTGCTGGCCATAGCTTCGGGGAATCTGTGGAGTCGTCAAGAGCAGCCGGAGCGACGTTGGATCCAGCCCAGAGTGGCGCTGCCAAGTGCCAGCTCCGGTTTTTAAGGCGCCCCAGGGCCGGCCTGCCCCGCGTAGGGGAGAGGACACTGGGCGGTTCCCGTCATACAGGCTCCGGGGAGTGGCCGGGCCCTGCTCCAGAGTCCGCAGGCCAGGGAGCACATCCTGGCCTAAGACAGGCCGCCGTGGGAAAGGGGCAGACGGAACCAGGGACCGAGGAAGGGTTAGGACAGGGGTCCAGAGAGGAGCTGGGGGCAGGAGAAGGGCGCACACCTCCTCCCAGCTCATCAGCCCCAGTCCTCCCTTTCTTATCTTGGGCGTGAGCACTGGGTCAGCTCCAGGGCAGGAGCTCAGGGCTGGTGTTGACATTAATGACAGCAGCGGTCTTTTACTGAGCATTTGTCTTGTGCCAGGCGCTGCCTAACACTCTGCAGTCTCTTGTATAATCTTTACAACCACCTCCTGAGATGGGTATTTTTATTAATAGCATCAGTGTATAGGAGGAAACTGAGGCAGCGAGGTCAGCCTCACCCAAACTCACGTGGCAGGGACTTGGATCCTCGAATCTGCCTAGGTGCCTGTCAACCCTAGGGCTCTGGCAACGTCAGAGCCCCCAGCCCCAAACACCTGCAGGGGCACTGCTGACTGGCTCTCTGCCTGTAGCCACTGAAATCCAGTGGATGCAGACGGAGAGGGCCTGGTAAATCCTTCCCCTGAGAGGGCGAGACATAGGAGTGTGCACCTGCAGACCATGCAACCCCAAGGGGGAGAGGGCAGTGTGCCTGTGCAGCCCAGGCAAGGAGACTGCCATCAGTCACTGAAGCCTGAGGAAGCTGGGCAGAAAGCATGGCTCAGGGAGGGCAGGAATAAGCTTGGGCCTTTCAGGTCACCTTTCCTGAGATGGGGCAGGCAAGGCTCTAGGGTACAACTTGTGACTGTTAGGAGGGGACTTAGGGATCTGGGCCAGAGTGGAGAAGGTCATCCCTGGGGGCAGCAAAATAGCCTGCGAGATACATTCCCCTGGCATACAAGGGGGCGCAGGTCAGGCCCCACCAAGCTGGGTGTACTCCCATTCCAGAGTCGGTCTTCAGGACCTGGAGACCAGTGCTCACCCACCCTGCCTCTCTGGGTCTCTCTAACGCTTCCTGTCTGGGGCTGTTTCTTGCACCTCTGGTGGCGTCTCCCCTATTCTGGAGCGCTGGGAAGCCCCTGCCACCCAGGCCCGGTCTGCTGGCACATACCTTGCTTCTAGTGGTGCAGGGTCAGCCCCTAGAGGGAGGTGTCTGAATGTGCACCTGTACACACACACACACACACACACACACGCGCGCGCGCGCTGGGTATGGATTAATGGAGATAAAGTCAACCCTGGGCAAAGGGAAGAGGCAAGCCATGAGATTAGGTGGAGGAAAGGGGAGGGAGCGGGTCTCAGGCAAAATAAAGTGGCAACAAGAGTCCTCCCAGCCCCCGCCCCTCCTTGACCAGAGCCTGGCCTTGCCCTGGGAGTGGCCAGATCGATGCCTGGGGCACTCTGGGGAGCCCAGCTCAGCCCTGCCCTGCCTGGCCAGCCGCAGCCCTGCCAGCCCTCCTGAATCCCACCAGTAGTGTCCAATAGCCAGGCACGCCTTTGAGCACTCCAGTTTATCATAGGCTGCTGGTGCCACTGGGTTCTGAGTCCCATGGGCAATGAGCTGTGAGCTGGACAGGAAGGGAGCAGCCTCTGTGGGGAGAGACAGCCAGTCCCCAGCAGATGATGGTAGTGATAGCTCCGTGTGGCCTTAGTGGCAGGCACTGCAGTCAAACCTCCTGGGTTTATATACTCTTAGAGCAAGCCCCTCACCTCTCTGAGCCTCAGCGTCCCCATTACATCACAGCATCTCCCCAAAGTGTGTTTGTGAAGATTAAATGGGCTAAAGGGTGCCCAGCACTCGGCAGCAGTGGACTTTGTAAGAGGGTCCAGGGCACCGGGGCTTCTCAAACAAGGGCAGGCAGAAGGAGGAAGCACATTACCAAATTACCATTGCCCCCCCCCACCCCCATTTGCTGTGGTGTTACTTTTTTTTTTCCGTTTTTTCTTTTTGGAGACAGAGTTTTGCTCTTGTCGCCCAGCCTGGAGTGCAATGGCAGGATCTCAACTCACTGCAACCTCTGCCTTCCAAGTTCAAGCGGTTCTGCCTCAGCCTCCTGAGTAGCTGGGATTATAGGTGTGCACCACCATGCCCAGCTAATTTGTGATTTCACTTTCTGCAGTTTCAGTTACCCATTGTTGGGGCTCAGAAACCAATACCCCAATATATAGTGCTGTGACATTCTGAACTGAAGAAGCCTTAAGGTCTCTCCGACCAGGCTCCCCCAGGCCCCTCAATCCTTTGTCTCTTCCAAATCGTACGGTGAAGTTGTTCCGTGAAGTCCCTCATCTGCCTAAAGTGTGGACCCACCAAAGAAGAAAACGATGACCCCTGGTCCCTTCCCAGAGTTTTCTCTGACTGAACTCATGTCACAGGGAGAAAGACTGAAGCCTGCTCACACACCTGGACAAGGTTTGCAAACCGTTGTCTGCTCTGTGAGCCCAACAGACTTTGTTCCAGGCCACTGTGTGTTCTTCAAACCCACTGAATTCCCCTGAAAATCACTTACTGGCCCCCTGAAATCACCCGCACTTCCCCATTGCATCTGTACCCCATTTCGTGGTGGGGCAGTCACTCTGATTTCCCCCATGCATGCTAGTGAATGTGTATTCCATTTCTAATCTGCTTTTATGAGCTGACTTTTCAGTGAACCTTCAGAGGGTAAAGGGAAAGTTTTCCCTTGGCCCCTGCACCGCAATTGGTAAGGTCCAAAATGTCAAAGGGAAAATTCCAGAAATAGCTGGTCGTGATGGCTCACGCCTGTAATCCCAGCACTTTGGGAAACTGAGGCGGATGGATAGCTTGAGGTCAGGAGTTTGAGACCAGCCTAGCCAACATGGTGAAACCCTGTCTACTAAAAATACCAAAATTAGCCGGGCGTGGTGGTGCACACCTGTAGTCCCAGCTACTTGGGAGGCTGAGGCAGGAGAATCACTTGAACCCGGGAGGCGGAGGTTGCAGTGAGCAGAGATCACGCCACTATTCCAGCCTGGATGACAGAGTGAGACTCCGTCTCAAAAAAAAAAAGAAAGAAAGAAAAAGAAAATTCTAGAAATAAACAATTCATGTTTTAAATAACTTTTATTACAGTATATTGTTATAATTGTTCCATTTTCTTATCGGTTATTGTTAGTCTCTTACTGTGCCTAATGTATAAACTTCATCATAGCGAAGCACATGTGTATGTGTAGGAAGACACATTATATGTAGGCTACCTTGGTACTATCTGGGGTTGCAGGCAGCTGGAAACATCTTGGGTGTATCCTAGTGGATGAGGGGAGTTGACTGTGCTCCCGCAGGGAGGTCAAAAGCAGCCTCACAGGGTGCAGAGCACATGAGGGTTCAAAGGCAAAGAGCACTGCCAGTGCCCATGGCTGGGAAGGGGCTTCCTGGTGATGTTGGTCATCTGAGTCCAGGAACAAGCCCTGAGTGTATGTGAGAGGGGGTCGTGGGGGTGCTGTGGTAGGGGCAGCAGGGACCCCTCTGGGCTCCTCCAGCAGAGGCAGAGGGCGCTGGAGCCTGGGGAAGGCTGTCGCTGGGAGCCTGGCATAGGTGCCCTCTCCCTCACCCCTATCAGCTGACCAGCTTTGCTTCTCCTTGCTTTCTTCACAGCCCAGAGGACTCTCGGGCACACCCAGGCCCCAGATGGCCTCCTCCCGGCGTTCATACACGCCTGCTTATGTGCACATGTCTGGACTGGGAAGCAGGAACAGCCCTGACTGCCCTGAGCTGCTTCCAGACCCTTCATGACTGCCCGTGGCAGAGTTTGGGGGTGTGGAGACCAGCAGCCCCCTGCTCCATTCTGCCTCCTCAGTGGATGCCCATGGCCAGACAGTAGATACAGCCTGGCTCAGCTGGGTCTGACTGGGCTCCCAGCCTCCTGGGCTGCCCTTGAATCCACTGCAGAGGCTGGATGGGGAGGTGGTGTGGACAGGGCAGTGTCTGAAGTCACATGTGGACGGACTCAAGCTCTCGCCCCAACACCCAGGCCTGAAGGCCTGGGGCAAGCCACTGAAATGCTCTGAGCCCAAACTCAGATGAAATGCATCTGAGTATCAAAGGGGAAGGCGGGATGTCGAGGGAACTCTGGTCTGAACAAGCCTGCCAGGCATGCAAGGTTTCAAAACAACTCAGGGCCTGCTGGCCAGTGGCTTATATGAAGGGCTTGCTCAGAGTGGGCTGGGCAAACAGCCCTTCGTGTAGGCCACTGGCCAGCAGGCCCTGGGTTGTTTTGAAACCTTGGATTGGGGGAATCCACCGTAAGCACCTTGGGGCCCGTGCAGCCATAGCAGGGCTGGGGAGCCCGGTCCTGTGCTTCTCAGCAAAACCTGGATCTACAGCTCCAACCTGAGAGGTTTGTTCTGAGGATTAAATAAGGTGAAGTGCTCACAACAGTGCCCAGGCAACGCCTGCGAGGAACTCAGCAGCTGTTGCTTTTCACCACTTTTCTTTCAAGGTGCAGCCTCGTGCATCTCCACTGTTGTGTTTTTAGTGGCACGTGGCAGGCTTCTGGGTGTAGCAGGGGTGCAAGGGGTACCCAGCTCCAGGTCCAGTGGGGAGCATGAGACTGGGTGGGGCCAGGTGGGAGGCGCCACAGGGTCACCTCCTGTCTCTCCTGGGATCCTCACTGGGTTTAGACGTCTCCATCTTTGAAAGTTATCGTCTGCCCCAGGGAGGATGTTAGGTGGCCCTGTTCCTCATGCGACCCTGGAGCCCAGGCCACACATGGAGGGAAGGCCCAGGAGCCTGTCTTTGCCTCCTGCTGACAGTGGGTTCCTCAGGGATGCAGAGCAGGCAGGCGGGGGCTACCCTGAGGCTGAGCTAAGCTGTCCTGTGGATGGGATTGTGAGTCCTGTCGAATGTCTTGGGGAGCCGAAGGCAGTGCTGCCTCCTCCATGTTAAAGGCAATGGGTGGGTTGGGGGTGTTGCTGAAGGCAGCGCCTGCTCTCACAGGTCCCATGAATGCCGTGTGTGTGTCCCTGTAGGATACTTGGTCCTATCAACAGGCTGAACCCGCTCCTGTTCCTGGGCGGACCTGGGGACCCTTCCTCAAGCTACACAGCACCCAGAGGAAGCATGGCAGGAGTGGGCTCAAGTTTTATTTGGAATCATTAAAAAAAAAACTCACAGCAGCATATGTGGGGTCAGAAGGACCAGAGGGCGGGCGGGGCCGAGGGAGGGCAGTGAGGTCGGTGCAGCAGCACAGGTGGACAGGCCGAGGGTGGCCAGGGACGAGGGCAGGAGCGTGGGCAGCCGTAGGTCACTCAAGGCGGGCACTCCTTGTGCTAGGAAGGGATGGTGTCCAAGGCAGAGGAGCGCTCCTCAGGGCGTCCGCACTGGCCTGTAGCCCTCTAGTCTCCCCCACTCTGGGCCTGGGAGAGAGAATGACCTGCACACCCAGCTCCGGGCCCCAGCCCTAATGGGCCACCCTGAGTCGGCTGGGAAAGGTTGTCCCCTGTGCCTCATGCCTGAGGGGTCATCCGTGGGGGGACCTCCCACTCAGGTTCAGGGTTAGCCCTGCCCACAATCCCTGTGGGGGCTGCGGAAGGTCTGGTGGGCCCTGGGAGCCCAGGAGGGAAGCAGTGAGTCTGTGGGGGACGGGGTCTCTACCCAGGAACCCCCGCCATGGTACACCCCAGAAGCCCAGCTCCTACCTCCTCTGCCACTTCCTCTTTCTCTTTGGCTGCCTCACCCTCCTGTTGGGGGGCAGATGGCTTCAAGTCCTCCTGTAGGGGACAAAATGGGGCATGAGACCATGCAGAGAATGCAGAGACCCCTATCTGCCCTGCAACCAGGGCCTTGTCTCCCCTGGCCTCAAGGAGGAGCAGAGGCCCCTCATGGCCTTGTTGTACTTGGAGGGGCTGGAGGTGTTGGGGGTGTGCAGTTCAGACAATATCTGGGGCTCTGTCTGATGATGCCGAGGCCTTCCAGGGGCACCAAGTACCCTGGAGCCCAGCTTCACCCCTCAAGCTGGTCCCCAGTCTCTGGGAAGCCCCTAGCTGGGCTTCATTGATGAGGAACCTGGGTGGGGTGGGGTGGAGTGGGGGTGAGAGTAGGCAGAGGCCCCTGAAGCCCCAGGTCTGACCCCACCCTCAGTAGCCCTACAAGGAAGGCCGATTGGGGTTCACATAGGGACTCTGAAGCCAGGCAGGCTTGGCATGCAGCTCAGGGCCTTCGAGCTCAAAGTGGTGGGGTGTGTCAGCATCAGATCAGGCTTGCTCCAGGTCCACTTCAGTCCCCAGGAGCATGAGTCCCTCTCCTTGCCTCCTGGACAGGCTCTGGGCTCAGGCTTGTCAGGGCCAGCAGAGGTTACACACTCCTCTCCCACTTTCCATCTTCTTCTATCTCCTGCACTCCATGCCAGCCAGACACTTGTGTGAGAGATCATGACAGCTGGGTATGTAGGACCACACTGGTGATTGGCCTGCACTCTGGCCTCAGCACCTGCCTCTGGTGGGGGGTATCCTGTCACCTCTGTGTTGCCCCAGGGCCATCCTGCCCCTTGACGGAGTGGGGCATAAAAGGGCAGTGCTGTGCTGGCTGGAGTCGGCCAGGCTCTCCAGGGGCAGGGCAGGTGGCCACCTGCTGAGTCCTGCCACCCTAAGGCTAATCATGAGGCCAAGGGCATGAGCTGCTAGATAGTCCCTGCTGAGGCCTTTCACAGTTCACTGGGAGATGAGTCGTGACTGGTTTTTGGGTGTCACCAGGAAATGAGTCTCCCTTGAGGTGGCTCCAAGGGCTCACTAGCCCTGCTCCAGGATTCACTAGGAACGCCCAGGCACCCTCACCCCAGCGTCTCTTTTGCTGGGGGTGAGGAGGGAGGGGCCTCCTGGGGCTCTATGTATTCTGCCCAGGACACATGATGATGATGATGATGATGATGATGATGATGATGATGGTCACTTTCCTCTGCTGGGTGCTCACATAGACCAGGAGAATCACTTCATGGAGGTCATGGCCCTGCCTCATCACACAGCCCAGGGAGACTGACACTCTCACCCCCATCTTGCAGATGAGGACACGGAGGCCCAAAGAGCTTCCTTCACTTCTCAAGGTCATACAACGAGGAAGGGAAACTAGGAGAGGGAGCAGCTGCCAACTCCAAGGACATGGAGACCCTGTGCTGGCCCTGGAAGCAGACACCTGGGCATTGCCCCAAAGCCAAGAGGAGTAGGGCAGCCCCCACCCTTCCACCCACCCACTCCCAACGCAGGGGTTCTCCGTGCTGGGAGCCTCAGACTCCGCCACCTAGGAGGTCTGCAGCAGGTAGGAGAGCTGGACACTGCTCCCCCACCCCACCCCCAGGCTAGAATCCTAGCCCAGGCCAGCACCTGCACTGCCACAGGGTCTCTCAGAGTACAGGCTGCTCAGGGGAATTCCAAGCTCACATGAACTAGCCATGGGACCTTAGGCACATTAATCTCTCTGGGCCTTAGTTTCCACACCGTCTCATGGGATTTTGTGTCTATTAAATGAACTAATAAGCGTACAATGCATAAAGCAGAGCTTGCTGTGTCTCAGGTGCTGGGACAACTCACCCAGCAGACACCCGTGCCTGGGGAGCGCCCCACTGCTCCTGTGCTGTCTGCTATTGGGCCGCACACACATGTGTACATTCACACACATGTACACCCACACATTCGCACACAAATGCACCCACATGCTCACTCAGCACTCGTGCACACACACATACACAAAGGCAGCTGCACAGGGTAGGGTCAGAACCAGCACTGCTTTCCCACCACCAGGGGACGCTGCTTCCCTGAGGCTCCCAGCAGGAGGCAGCTGCCCCGCCCAGCGCAGGGAGGGAGGCTGGGCCCTGGGGGCGGGGCGAGTGCGACTCAGCCCCCGGCCTGGTGACCACTGCCCGGGAGGCTGCCTGTTACCATGTGGGACCCTGTTTTCACTTATAAAATATGGTGTCTCCTAAATGCTGACAGCCGTCCAGAAAGAGTGGTTTTGAGCCTCACTTTCCTTGTCTATGAGATGGGCCCCCAAGTCCCCTCGATGGGGTGGTTGTGGGGATTCCAGACCCGAATGCAGGTCGAACAGCAAGCATGGACCCCACTGTGCTCGGTGCTGAAACTGAAGCCAGCCCCAGCCCCCCCTCATGTTTCCTGGGGTGTGAAGTGGAGTGATGCCGCCTCTACCCAGCAGCCTCTCTGGGCCCAGGAGAGGACTGAGAGGGTCTGAGGGCCGGGGCTCACCTTGCGCACCACCCCGGAGGTGACCGCGATGTTCTCCGCCTCCTCCACGGTCTTGGCGGCCACAGTGTTGACGCTGCTCACCACAGCCTCGCTCACGGCGTTGGCCTGCTCCTTGGTCTTCTCGGCCACTGCGGGAGGACACTGACTGGCCTCCGCCCCAGCCCCCAGGCAGGCCTGCTGGAGTCAGGCTCGCAGCCCCTTACTAGGAGCTCAGAGCCCTGGCTCTGCTGGGATCCTCCCCTGCTCCCTCAGACTCCAGGGCACCTCTGATGCTGGTGGGGGTAAGGAGACACCCACCCTAGTTTAGCCTCATGATCTGCAAGGGTCTGCAGGGTTTGGGACCCCAGCTGGGGGTAAAGCAGGACTCTAGGTTTGAGCCCAAGCACTAGGATGCAGGACCCCAAGGGGTCCCAGCCCCCACGTGTCCCCTGGCCCTGAGGCTCCTCACCTGAGGTCACGCTGTGTACAACATTCTCCTTGGTCTTGGTTCCTGGGGAGGAAATGGAGCCGTCAGCCCGGACCCCACTCCAGGTGTTGTGGGCAGTCAGGACAAACACAACAGAACAGCTGGACAAGCTGCAGGGTGGGCGGAGGGGGCCGGGGTGGGGCGGGAGTGAGGATGGTGTCTGTGGGCTGGTGGCCCCTTCAGAGAGCCTCTTCCTGCTGTGTCTGGAAGAAGTGGATGGATGGCAAGGGGACAGGACAGAAGGTGGGGGACAAGAGAGAGCAAGCCTGAGGTAGGGACACTGACTAGACCCAGGGTCCAGCCCCTGCCTGGGTGTGGCCGGGCCTCAGAAGCAGCAACAGGACGGGCCGGAGCTGAGTCATTGGTTTGACCTCCCCTTCCTCCTCCGGAGAGCGCCAGGAGAGGATGCAGGGGAGGGAACACTGAGCCTAGGTCTCATCCCCCAGCCCACCCCTTCTCTCTGGGGAGGGTGGGGATCCGTGGCCTGGCTGCAGTTGCTCCCATGTGGAGAGGGTGGGGGCCACCTGAGCACAGGCTGCTCATAGCTTCAGGGGCTCCAGGCTCAGGGGAGGCTGGTGTGCTTGGGCATGTCTTTGTGCATGCACAGACAGGTAGCTAGCCCTGTCTGCGGTCTCTGACACCCAGAGGCCCCGAGAAGGCCAGAGACAAACACACATAGGTGTGCACAGGGCATCGTGGGTGCTCCAGGGTCTGGAGACCCCACCTTAATAGCCAGGGCCTCACCCCCTCCCAAAATGCCTCCCTGGGGCTTGGGAGTAAGGTCTGGCGAAGGTAACTGGGCACCTCATCCTCTGGCCACTACACTGTCCCACCCTGCCATGCCCCACTTACCCACATACATGACCCCCTCCTTGGTCTTCTCAGCTGCTTCCGTCACCCCCTGCTTGGTCTTCTCCACCGCACCCACCACGCCCTCCTTGGCGATGGAGAAGCCCTTCTTGAAGACATCCATGGTGGCTGTGCAGGGTTGGGCTGCTGCAGGCAGGACGGAGCTGGATCTCCCTGCGAGCTGCGGGCTGGAGCTGGCTCGAGTGCTGCCGCAGCGGCTGTCCCCGCTGCCTCCTATTGACGCCGATGAAATATTGATGCGGAGGCCAGCTGGAGCCCAGCCAGCCCCGCATGCAGTGGGGGCAGGGAGGGAAGGAGGGAGGGAAGGAGGCCCGGCCTCACCTTCCTCCAGGATAGGAAGGCAGAGACCAAGCTCCCTGGGCTCCTGCTGGCTCAGCCCAGCTCTCCTGCCCCGTGCCCTCCAGGGGCTGGAGGGGGCTGGCCACCTCCCAACCCATCCCTGTCCCTCATTCATTTGCTGCCCTGCCCACCCATGGGGGCAGCTCTAGCTGGGTGCTCTTGGCCCCGGGGGCGCTGTGTCTAGGCTACAACTGGACAGACAGGCACAGAGAGGGGAGGCGCCTTGGTCAATGTCCCCCAGCATCCCAGTTAGGGGTCAGGGCTCCACATAGGCCTGTCAGGTGAGAGTGGCCAACCTCCCGCAGCCTGGGCTGTGCAGCTACCCACCAGCATCCTGGATGCCACTAGACCCTGGTTGGAGGATCTGAGGTGGGTGGGGGTGGGGAAGTGAAGGACTTCCCCATGTCCTGGCCTCTGGCTGCATGCTGTGTGACCCCAGAATAATCCCTTCCCTTCTCTGAGCTGAAGGTGCTGAGGAGGCATGAAGTGCCCCCCATTTCCCAGCCAGCAGTGTGGCTGGGCAGCAGGTCCCCCGAGATGGACCTGACCACTTCCTGTGGCCCTACCTCAAAGTCCACGCTCTTTTCATGGCTCCCAGGGAGCAGGTTCCCATAAGGATGCGTTTGGTGGGGCCACCCGCTGTGTCTACCACATTCGCAGAGTCCCCTGAGCCAAGTCCTCAGGGACAGGAACTGGCTTGTGTGGTTGGCAGCGCCTGTGGGGGCCAGCCAGGGTGGTTGGGGGGCAGGACAAGACCCACTGGGTAGGCCGGCCCAGGCCACTTCCTCTCTTTGTTGTCCTCGTATTTTCTTTTCCTCCTGAGATTTAACTTGAAGACAACGTCACTAGCAGTTTCTGGAGCCACTTGCCAAGGCTGAGTGTGAGCTGAGCCTGCCCCGCTGCCAAGATGATCCTGAGCTTGCTGTTCAGCCTTGGGGGCCCCCTGGGCTGGGGGCTGCTGGGGGTATGGGCCCAGGCTCCCAGTACTAGGCTGTCTGATCTGCAGAGCTCCAGGCTACCTGGGGTCTGGAGGGCAGAGGCTGAGGACACCGGCAAGGATCCCGTTGGACGGTAAGAGGGCCTGGACCTTGGCAGAGGTCATGGAGTAGGATCTGAGTCCCAGCTCAGCTAGACCAGAGCCTCTCTAGACCTCATGTCCCACCTGTGAAATGGGCTAATCGAAACTATCTACTGGGCCAGCTGTGAGGCTGAACAAGTCTAGCCTGGACTTGGTGTTTCAGGATCCACCTAAGAATGACAGGGAGTTCCCTGTCGGAGCCATGGCAGGGAATGGGGCTTGGGGGGCTGGTGGGGAGGCACAGCTCCTACCATCAATCACCCGGCATGGGGCACTGGGGGACTGTGGCTGAAGCCATTGCCAGCTGGCCTGGCCATGCCTCCTGTTCTTCGAAAGAAATCAATTCTGAAAGCTGACACCCAGCAAGGCTGCCCTCAGATTTTGATCTGAGTTCCCTGGGGACCTGACTCAGAGTGCCCAGCAGTGAGCAGAGAGGGTACCCTACTCTCCACAGCATAATCCAGGGAGCTCTGCCTCAGTGACCCCGAGAGTGGGCAGGATGGTCTTGCAACTGGACCCAGAACACAGCTTTCCAACATTCTATTTGTACAGGGCCAGGGCCCCTCCTGCTGATGAGGTATTGGGCCTGTAAGTCCCCCCTCATCTCCAACTGCCCCTCAGTCAGAGCAGCAGGTGCTGTTTACGGGGCTAGTCTCGGGGCCAGGCACCTTGCCATGTGTATCTCAGTTCATCCCTCCAACAGCCCCACTTACAGAGGAGGAGCCCGAGGCTCAGAGAGGCTGAGGGGCTTGCCCAAGGTCACACAGCTAAGGGGCAAGATCTGAGTCTGACTCCAGAGCTCATAGTCAACTCTTCGCAGCACTCGGAGCCAGCTCCAACCCCCAGATGCTCCTACCCCCACCCTCCTGCCCCCGCACACCAGACCTGTTTGGCTAGGGGCATCTACATGGATGTAGGGAGTGAGGGAGGCCAACTTACACTTCTATGAGGTGTATGAGAGTCGCCATCGCAGAGCGGACCTGCCTGGGAGAGGTCTCATTTGGCTTCTGAGTTGCAGGTCTGTTGGGTCCTTTCCTGAAAACGGATTTGACCAGGGAGGGGCAAGAGGCCCCTTAGTGAGGGGCTGGTGGCAGTGGTGTGGGGAGCAGTGGCTGAGCAGCTAGCCATGGAAAAACCCCATTCCCGCCTGCCACCAACTCTGCTCAGGGCTGGGAAGCGCAGGTGATTCTCAGTGGTGGGGCGGGGAGGGGGTGCGGGGCAGGGGCAGGGTGGATCCAGACACTCTGCTCTGATTTCAGCACCAAGGAAGCTCCATGCCTGAGTCTCAGGCCACCTTCCTCCTTTTGATGAAAGGGAGGATGAGGGGACCTGGTGGACAGGAGGGAGGAGGGAGCTGCTCCTCTTCCTCCCCGGGGTCTTGGTTGTGGGAGACATTGCTCCCTTAGCCCCAAGGAGTGAGGGTCTGGGAACTGCTGTCGGGCAGCCCTGCAGGGGCCCTGCAGTCCTTCTCTGGGGGTTCTCAGAGTGGGAGGGTGCATGTACCTGGACCAGGAATGCCCAGGTGTCCCAAGCCTGGAAGCCCCCTGCCTGCAAGGCTCTCCTTCCCACATCCAGAAGCTGCAGTCTCCACAGGACAAGCCCATGTTCTCTCAACAAGCCCGGATGGGCTGGTGAGAAAGGAAGGAAACGCCACGGCTTCCTGGGCTGATTGCTTCCCGTGCTCCTGTGACCAGGGAGGTGGAAGCGTGCTCCAGTCCCCGTCCCTGCAGCAGGGGAAGGGGAGGCAGATTGGGTTCCACTAGCAGGGGTGGTGACACCGACACCATCACAAGGAGGCTCGGCTGCCAGAGTCAGGCATTCTGCCCTGCCTTTGCCGCTCACGTTTCCAGAGCCCCAGGGCTAGGCCGGGCCCTGGATGCAGGCCCCAATAAGACCCTTTGCAAGGAAAAGCTTGAATAGAACCACCTCAGACTTCCCTGCGGTGGAGAAGTGAAGGGGTTAACTGCTTCTTAGGTCGCCAGGGACCCCGAGGGGCCCAGCCGAGGGAGTCAGCAGCCTGAGCATTAGGACTCTGGGAAGACGAGGCTCTTTCTGTGCCCTGACTCAGGGATGTCTAGAATGTGGGGGCCTCAGACCCAGGATTTGCTGTCCCAGTGGAACTCAGTCTGCGGTAGGGACTGTGCTGAGCCCCAGGCAAGGTGTCCTATCTATCACATTGCTGTGACAGCTCAGAGGGGTGGGGATGCCCCCCAGGGCCACAGACCTCCTAAGTGACAATGAGAGCCGGGGCCCACCCAGGCATTCTCTGTCCTGTCCCCCCAAGAGGGTGGCCGTGTAGGGGACGCTGCTGCCAGCAGGCTGGTTGGCCCCAGTCACCAGCCTCAGGCTTCTCCTGACCCTCACACGAGGAGCCTTGGGATTTTCCCAGCTGGGAGCTTGTGGCCCAGAGGAGTCCAGCATATGGCTAGAGGTCACACAGGAGCAGGGCGGAACACAAGCCACGATGCACCTTTTGCACTTGTTCCTCCCCCATCCTCACCCCCCCACCCCCGTGCCCAACCCCTGCCGGGCACAGAGTCCTTGACATCAACAGGGAAGAGCCCCCACTGGCCAGAGCTGAAGATTCCAGAACCACGCTCAGGGGTTCTCGGCTGTGGGCTGGCCCCTGAGAGAGCCTCAGGCTTCTCTGCCAAGGCCCTTTTCTGAGTCAAGGACAAACCCTGTGAGTTTCTCCCCTGGAATGGTCAGGTTAATGGCTGGCTTCAGGGCATCAGAAAGCAAGGCTGCTGAGAACACGCCCTCTTTGCCAAGGAAGACTTGAGGGCCCCTGGGAGGGCGTTTCCTGGCTGGGGAAGGGAAGGCACTCCACACAATCTGCATAATGGATGCGCCCTCCCCCACCTACAGGCTCCCTCCCCCTTCCCCCCAACCCCGCTCTGCTCTGTTTGCCGCAGAGGCACAGCTTCTTCGCATTTCAATGACGGGGGAAGTGCCTTGCTCAAGGTCACTGTGGGTTCAGGGAGGAGGAGGAGAGGAAAGCACAGGCCACCCAGCTTCCATTTAAAGCTCCAAAGGAGTCCACATACCCTCCCATCTGGGTGGGGAAGCAGGTTGGGGCAACAGAAGACCAAGAGCAGCTCCAAACCAGGCCAGGGGAGCCCCACATTCACTCTGGGTTGGCCACTGGGAGATGAGGGCACACAGCAGGACTCCCCAAGGGAGGGCACAAAGATAAAGCCAGCCTGAGATGGAGGGGCAGAGGGAAAAACGGGCGCTTCAGCAAGTTGGGCCGGGGGCATGGGCATCAAGGGCCAGCAAGAAGCTGCCAAGAGCTGGAGGAAGCCAAAGCAAAGGTCAAGAATGTTCCCAGGGTTCTGGGCCAGCAGCCTGTACTGTGCCAAGGGAGGGCCTGCCCAGGGCGGGCAGTGTGGGCAGAGAGAATAGCGGCGCTGAAGCCCAGGGTCTGGGCAGGTCAGCGGAGAAAGTTCCTGGGCAGGAAGGGTGGGCGGCATAGTTTCCACTTCCAGGAGCTTGAGGTGGAAAGTCCCGGTCACTCCTAGCAGACTGGACCAGGCCAGGCGTGCCTGGAGCACAGGCCTTCCAGGCCCTCTGCAGTAGGTCAGAGGTTTGCGAGGAATGGAACTTTGTTTAGAGAGAGTTTCTCAACCCTGGCACTACTGACATTTTGGACTAGACAATTCCTTGCTGTGGGGTGTGGAGATGTCCTATGCATTGTAGGTATTTGGCAGCATCTTTGGGCCCCGCCCATGAGACGCCCAGTCGTGAGTAGCACCCACCACCCAGTCGTGACAATGCACCTGGGGAAAGTCCCCTCTCCTCCCATTGAGAACCACTGGTCTAAGAGAGATTTTTCCTTAGGACTGAGCCCATATTCCAGGAGTTTCCAGGGGGCCCCAGGTGGGTGTCTGTGCAAGCGAGCCTGTCACCTGTGGCTCCTGAGCTCTGGGGCCAGTGCCTTCCCAGCCCTCTGTTTCAGTGTTGAGTGAGCATTCCTTCCTTCCATCCTTATGGTGAGGTGACCCCTTTTCACATTGACTGATTCCTTGGAGATGCACCGGCCCCTTCCTGGTCTCTGTTCCCATTGGCTGGCATAGCAAATCCTGCGCCAACACCCATCGTTTTCATCCCTTGGCTTTGGAGTCGGTCTTGGTAGTTGTGAGAGAAACTCCCTACTCATTGTTGTCTTCCAAAATGTTCTTTCTGTTTTTCTTTTGAGACAGGGTCTTGCTCCATGGCCCAGGCTCGAGTGCAGTAGTTCACTGTCGGCTCACTGCGACCTCCACCTCCTCGGCTCAAGCAATCCTCCCACCTCAGTCTCCCAAGTAGCTGGGACTAGAGGTGTGCACCACCACGCCCAGCTCATTTTTGTATTTTTTGTAGAGACAGGGTTGTGCCACGTTGCCCAGACTTGTCTGAAACTCCTGGACTCAAGCGATCCACCCGCCTGGGCCTCCCAAAGTGCTGGGATTACAGGCGTGAGTCACTGTGCCCGGGTTCCAAAATGTTCTTGATTATTCATCTGCATTGTCTTTTCCTGATGAAAATGATTTTATTTATTTTTTAAAGTTTCATTTTTATTAGTTATACATACTCATAGGCAGGGGAGTGGGCCAAATCCAGCCCCTCACCTGTTTTTGCTAACAAAGTTTTATTCAAGCACAGCCAGGCTGGTTCATTTACATATCGTCAGTGACTGCTTTTGTGGTACAATGGCAGAGTTGAGTAGATGGGACAGAGTTCATGTGGCCTGGAAAGCCTGAAACCATGGCCAGCATCAGGGGCATGTGACCTATGCAGTCACACACAAGGCCCTGCCCTCTGGAGGGCCCCTCCCTGGGTGTCATCATCTTGAAATTCTTCATACTTTTTGAAGGAGAGGCCCCACGTATTCATTTTGCACTGGGCCTTGCAGATTATGTAGCTGGTCTTGTGTCAAATATTTACTATCTGTACCTTTAGAAAAAAAGTTTGCTGATCTCCTGATTAGGAGTCAACTGGTTCTATAAGGCTTGCTGAGACCGTCAGAAGCCCCAGCTCCCTCTGGTCCCAAAGGCAATGACTTTCAACTTTGCAGGTGATTCTTTCGCATTTACCTCTGTATCACTAAATAACATGCTTGCATTGCTGCTTCTTGGGAGGTAGCATTATCTTTTTTTTTTTTGAGACGGAGTTTCACTCTTGTTGCCCAGGCTGGAGTGCAATGGCGCGATCTTGGCTCACTGCAACCTCCACCTCCCAGATTCAAGCGATCTTCCTGCCTGAGCCACCCGAGTTGCTGGGATGGAGATAGCATTATCTTTGAGTCAGATGTCATTCCTACCCCAAAGCAAATGCATGTGCATGTATTCGTAGGGCCACATGTACTGCTCAGCATTAAGCCTTGAACTAAACTGAAACTTTTTTGCCCCCTTGCACACTTTTTGTTTTCCTTGTAGTAAAAATTTAGAACTCTCAGAGTTCTAAAATTTCATGTGTCTTGCTTTTTTCTTTTGCTTATTCCGTGTCTTTATCACTAACTCAGCTCCACACCCTCAGTCAGTTGTCCACATCTGCTCTCTACACTCTCATTCATGCCGGGTGTCGGAGCAGCTGCGTCTTCTCGGAGATGCGGCTCCCAGAGCCTCCGGGTATGTTCTGATGTGGACTGCTGCCCTCATACCACAGCCCATTGTCGTCCTGGGGGTTCCCTTCACCTGGTTTTTATGTTGGAACCTGTTTCCTGATCCTGTGCCTTCTCTTTCTTGATTTTCTCTGCTGTTGTGTTGGAGTGTTTCCTGTGGCACCACGGTTCTGCATCCTGGGTGTGCCATGCAATGACCCAGAGAGCCCTAAAATGCTGGTGCTCAGGCCCTAATCTCAGGGGGTCTGGGAGCCTATTATTTTTCTTTCTTTTTATTATTATTATTATTATTATTATTATTGAGATGGAGTCTCGCACTGTCACCCAGGCTGGAGTGCAGTGGCATGATCTTGGCTCACCACAATCTCTACCTCCCGGGTTCAAGCAATTCTCCTGCTTCAGCCTCCCAAGTAGCTGGGATTACAGGCGCCCACCACCATGCCCAGCTAATTTTTTGTATTTTTTAGTAGAGACAGGGTGTCACTATGTTGGCCAGGCTGGTCTCAAACTCCTGACCTCGTGATCTGCCCGCCTCGGCCTTCCAAAGTTCTGGGATTACAGGCATGAGCCACCATGCCTGGCCTCTTTTTATTGTTTTTTGTAGAGATGATGTCTCACTATATTGCCCAGGCTGGTCTCAAATTCCTAGTCTCAAGCAGTCCTCCTGCTTTGGCCTCCCAGTGTTGGGATGACTGGCATGAGCCACTGCACCTAACCCAAGACATTATTATTATTATTATTATTATTATTGAGACGGAGTCTTGCTTTTGTCACCCAGGCTGGAATGCAATGGTGCAATCTCCACTCACTGCAACCTCTGCCTCCCGGGTTCAAGTGATTCTCCTGCCTCAGCCTCCCGAGTAGCTGGGATTACAGGCATGCACCACCATGCCCAGCTAATTTTTGTATTTTTAGTGGAGACGAGGTTTTGCCATGTTTGCCAGGCTGGTTTGGAACCCCTGACCTCAAGTCATTCCCCTGCCTTGGCCTCCCAAAGTGCTGGAATTACAAGAATGAGCCACCACACTCGGCCCCAAGACTATTATTTTTAATTATTTTTAAAGTGCCACACAATGGTTTTGTTTTTGAGTGTGTTTTGTTTTGTTTTGTTTTGTTTTTTTGAGGTGGGGGGTCTCACTATGTTCTCCAGGCTGATCTCGAACTCCAGGCCTCAAGCAGTTCTCCCACCTCAGCCTCTTGAGTAGCTGGGATTACAGGTGCAAGCCACCACATCTGTCTTGCATGATGGTGTTGATGTGCAGGCAATATTTCAAACCACTGCTCATCAGGTAGTCTCCTGAAGAGGGATACGTGGGAGGTAAATGTTCTGAAATCTGGGTCATTTGAAAATGTCTTTATTCTCACTCCCACACTGATTCATAGTTAGGCTGGATATAGGATTCTGGATTGTAAATTATGTTTCTTCAGTATTTTGAATGCAATCCTCACTGTGTTCCAGTTTCCAATATTGCTGTTGAGAGGTTCAAAGCCATTCCAGTTACCGATTTTGTATGCGTGTGTTTGTCTTGGTTTTCCCCGCTGGAAGCACGTAGAGACCATCTTTGTTCCCAGAGTTCTAAAATTTCATGATGACGTGTTTTGATATAAGTGTATTTTCATCATATTGCAGGTAATTGGTGCTGCTCTGAATCTGAAAATTGAAGTCCTTCACTTCCGGAATATGTTTTTGGTTTGTTGTTGAGACAAGGTCTCGCTCTTTTGCTCAGGCTGGAGTCCAGTGGCGCAGTCATAGCTCACTGAAGCCTCAACCTCCCGGGCTTACAGGACCCTTCCACCTCAGCCATCTGAAGAGCTGGGACTACAGGTGCACACCAGCACACCTGGCTAATTTTTCAGTTTTTTTGTGGAGATTGAGATCTTGCCATGTTGCTCAGGCTGGTCTCAAACTCCTGAGCTCAAGTGATCCTCCTGCCTCAACTTCCCAAAATACTGGGATTACAGACATGAGCCACCATGCCCAGCCTGATTTTTTTTCATTGATGATTTCCTCCCTCTGTTCTCTCTTTCAGAAATTTGTACTATTTCAATGTTACATTTGCAAGACTGGTCCTCTATTTTTCTTTTCTCTTTCCAATTTTTCATCTCTCTGTTTGCTCTTTTAGGGAAATGTCTTTAACTTGACCCTCTGACATTTCCATTAAATTTATTTTCATTTCTACTGTTATGTTTTTAATTTCCAAGAGTTCTTTTTTGTTCTTTGAATGTTCACCCTTCCTCTCCCATCCCCCCTCATTTTTTTTCTTTTTCATAGATTCCTGGTCTTGTTTCTTGGGTGCAGTAATTTATTTTATCAACCTGGAAATCTTAGTGCAAATGTTTCAGTGGTTCTCTTCTCCTTACGCAGGCTTAGTTTTTGTCCAAGTTGGTATTTTTTCGTTTGCCCACTTTGACCTCTTTTTTTTTTTTTTTTGGAGATAGGGTCTTGCTCTGCACTCAGGCTGAAGTGTAGTGGCATAATCATGGCTCACTGCAGCCTCGAAATTCTGGGCTCAATCAATCCTCCTACCTCAGCCTCCTGAAGAGCTGGGACTACAGGCATGTGCCACCACACCTGGCTAATTTTTTGTAGGGATGAGGTCTCACTATGTTGCGCAGGCTGGACTCAAACTCCTGGGCTCAAAGGATCCTCCCACCTCAGCCTCCCACAGTGCTGGGATTACAGGCGTGCGCCACTGTACCTGGCCCTCTTTTGGAATACAATGTTTCTCGGGTAAATCTTGGATGTCTACTCACTTGAGAAAGACTGAGAAACTGGAAGCTGGGGTGTATGGATACCCTTTTCTGTCCCGTTTTGTCATAGGATCTTCTGGTTGGTTATTTTTATGGGAGGACCCCTGGTGTCAGCAGCTTTGGGTCTTTTCCTCTTGGGCTGGCTCATTTTCCTGAGAAACTTTTCCAGTCAGAGGATAAAGCAGGCTAGGGGCTCAGCACTCAAAATATGGTCATTTAGCTGGGCACGGTGGCTTATGCCTGTAATCCCAGCACTTTGGGAGGCCGAGGCAGGTGGATCACGAGGTCAGGAGTTCGAGACCAGCCTGGCCAACGTAGTGAAACCCCGTCTCTACTGAAAATACAAAAAAATTAGCCGGGTGTGGTGGCGGGTGCCTGTAATCCCAGCTACTTGGGAGGCTGAGGCAAAGAGAATCGCTTGAACCTGGGAGGTGGAGGTTGCAGCAAGCTGAGATCGCGCCACTGCACTCCAGCCCAAGCGACAGTGCAAGACTCCGTCTCAAAAACAAGAAAAAAAAAAAAAAAAGTCACTCGAATCCCCGACCCTTGCCTTTCCCAGCACTATCCCTGTGTGACAGTGCTTGATGGCCCCAGGACAAAGACCAGCTCCGGAGAATAAAATCCCGGCACTGACAGTCACTTTACCACCAAGGCCTCTGAACGCCGCTTTCTAAGAGCTCACAGATGTGGCCACTTCTCCCACGTCCACCATCACTCAGTCGAAACTGCCATTATCTCCCCCTAGACCCTGGACACAGCTGCCAACATCTTGCCCTCCCATCCTCTCTGCACCCAGGAACCAGGGTGGCTCTTTCACGCCACTTCCCTGCTGAAACCCCTCCATGACTTCCCATGCCCTCAGGACATAGGCCAGCTCCTCTGCTGAGGTCTGGCTTCTCCTTTCATCCCAGCCTCCTTCTGCAGCCCCTTCCTCACCCCTACGCACCCCTGTCACATCCGGTGCCTCATCCAACTTTCCGGCTTTAAGACATAGCCCCATTAGCTCCTTCTCCTAAAAGTCTCTGCAGATCCTGGCACCTCTCACCCATTCTAAGAGTGCTCTCCCTGGGGACCCTGAAGGGAAAGTCTGTACCTCCACATCCACACCCTGAGCTTGAGCGCAGCACCCAGCACCCAAGAGGTGCTGAGCTGTACTGTGCCACGGAGATCATTGCCACTTGCCACTTTGATGAGCTCTGTTCTGGGAGCTGGCTGCCTGGGGAAGGGCTCTCTGACCACTGCCACGGACCCCATGGAGTCAGCCACTGGGTCAGTGAACTGCAGCTCCATCAGCATGAGCGTCCCCCGGCTCCTGGGATCACCACAGTGCATGCTGGTGAAGGGCCAGGATGGAGGGGCTACCTCTCAAGTGTGCAGGATACTGAGTGTGACCTCCAACCACCTTGCATGACCTTGATGTGGTGGCCATCCCAGAGAAGACACTGCTCCACCCAGCTGCTTACCTTTCCTTAGGACAACTGTTTGAGAGTCCATTTCTAGAATGATCCTAATGGGCATGGCCAGGGAGCTGGTCCTTCACATAAGTAGCAACTGGGCAGGCTGCCAGCAGTTGGAATGGGACAGTGGAGCTGTGTTCACAGAACACTTGTCAGGAGCCAGGCACCTGGTATTCCTCTACCCACTTAAAGGAGGGCATTACCATCGCCATTGTATAGATGGGGAAAGAGAAGCTCCCTAAGCGCCTCACTCGGGGTCACACAGTCAGAAAGCGTGAGGGATTCAAACCCAGGACTCTCCAGCCCCAGCTGCACCTTGGTAGCAGGAGAAACAGCGAGAGCTTTCCGGCTCTGCGGCTAACCTCACCGAAGGGAATCCATGCAGACAGCTGCAGTGCACATGGTGTTTTCCCCACACTCTGGCTGTTAGTTTTGTTGGCTAAAACAGTCATCACCCTGGAGCTGCTTTTCACAGTTCTAGATTTTGGTGGGTTTCTCAGCCTCTCTGTGCTGGCTCGGGGAGGCTTCAGGAAGGGGGTGGAGCAGGTGCCCTCTTTGCAGGTAGGGATTGTGAAACGTTTGGTCTGGAGCCCAGGGATGAATAATGCAGAGGGCTCTCTTCACAGGATAATGGATTCCAGAATCCCAGCACTGCTCCGGCAGGAGGTGGGGACTGGTGGCTCTGCACTGGCACCCCCTGTTGACCTGGGTGTGGCTCAGCAGCCTTCTCCTCTTGCTTGTTTTCCAGTAACTGGTGCCCCTACCCGATGTCCAAGCTGGTCACTTTACTAGCTCTTTGCAAAACAGAGAAATTCCTCGTCCACTCGCAGCAGCCATGTCCGCAGGGAGCTCCAGACTGCCAGAGAGTCAAAGTCATGTGAGTAGGGGAGGGTGGGCCATTCGCCCAGGCCTGGAGCGAGCCCTCCCTGGAGTCACTGAGTCAGCCCTCCTCCTCCTCCAGGTACCGCATGGCCCACAAGCCAGTGTACCAGGTCAAGCAGAAGGTGCTGACCTCCTTGGCCTGGAGGTGCTGCCCTGGTTACACGGGCCCCAACTGCGAGCACCACGGTAGGGCTCCCTGCTGCACCCCTCCCCACTTGACCTCTGATCCCCAAAGTCAAGCAGCTCCTCTGACCACTGGGGTCAATATCTAATGCCTTCTTCTGCAGATTCCATGGCAATCCCTGAGCCTGCAGATCCTAGTGACAGCCACCAGGAACCTGGGGATGGACCAGTCAGCTTTGAACCTGGTGTGTTGCTTTCCGGAAGGGGCAGGCAGACAGGCAGGCAGGCTGCTGGGGCCCACGTAGCCAGCTGGCCCTTTCTCCTGTGATACAGCAGTGCCATTTCAGGGAAACCTTGCCTCCAGAATCAGCAAGGACTCCTCTGTGGCCTGCACCACCTCCCACCTTGAAGGCCAGGCTCACCGGGCTCCCAGCTGCCTGCTGGCCAAGCACACACACCCTTTTCCTTCACCCCATCTTCTGGGAAGTACTGGTTCATCTGACACTTTCCTTGTCCCCTGAACCACACAAACCCTTGTGCCTGGAAGAAGCATTCTCACCCTTCCCCACAGCCCTAACCAGAGCCAGGAAGTCATACTGTCCTTGGTCTTGGAGTCAGCACAGGAAACCAACCAAAAGACATCATTTGCAGCAGGGCCCTTCAAGGCTGGGCCCAAGATTGAGAAAGCAAATGAGTGTCATTATGTGGTGAAGTATTTATTGACAAGGGCTGCCAAGAATGAAGTTGTGAGGCCATGTGCATGTGCTGAGGAGGGGAGTGGACCATGATTGATTAGTCATGTCTGCTGTGGGTGTAGGAGGCAGGATGAGGGTTCACTTGCATGCATTTGCCCTCCAGGGGCTTAAGGCTTCTAAGCTCCTGCTCAGAGGACATCAGCAGCTACCTTCCCTGCTCTCAGCCCTCAACGATCCTTCTCTGAACCTCGTGATTGTCCCAGACCTGGTGAGTTAGCCCTTGACATTTATGTCTGCTGTGCATTTAGGCCACCTGGCTGCAGCGATCAGTGAGGTTGAGGTGCAACAGGAACAGCAGGAACACCTTCTGGGAGATCTCCAGAATGATGTTCACCAGGTGGCAGACAGCCTGCCAGGCCTGTGGAAGGCCCTGCCTGGTAACCTCACAGCTGCAATGACGGAAGCAAATCAAACAGAGCACGGTGAGTGGCAGGCTCTAGGGGCTGAGGAAGAGCCTGGTCACATTGAGGGGAAGAGGGGAGGACCCCGCTGGTCCCAGCCTGGGAGGAATGTCTGCTCCTGCAGGGCTTGTGTCACACCACACGTCTGTTGCAGAGTTCCCTGACAGATCCTTGGAGCAGGTGCTGCTACCCCACGTGGACACCTTCCTACAAGTGCATTTCAGCCCCATCTGGAGGAGCTTTAACCAAAGCCTGCACAGCCTTTCCCAGGCCATAAGAAACCTGTCTCTTAATGTGGAGGCCAACCGCCAGGCCATCTCGAGAGTCCAGGACAGTGCCGTGGCCAAGGCTGACTTCCAGGAGCTTGGTGCCAAATTTGAGGCCAAGGTCCAGGAGAATGCTCAGAGAGTGGGTCAGCTGCGGCAGGACGTGGAGGATCGCCTGCACGCCCAGCACTTTACCCTGCACCGTTCGATCTCAGAGCTCCAGGCCGATGTGGACACCAAATTGAAGAGGCTGCACAAGGCTCAGGAGGCCCCAGGCACCAATGGCAGCCTGGTGCTGGCAACGCCCCAGGCTGGGGCAAGGCCTGAGCCAGAGAGCCTGCAGGCCAGGCTGGGCCAGCTGCAGAGGAACCTCTCAGAGCTGCACATGACCACGGCCCGCAGGGAGGAGGAGTTGCAGTACACCCTGGAGGATATGAGGGCCACCCTGACCCGGCACGCGGATGAGATCAAGGAACTGTACTCCGAATCCGACGAGACCTTCGATCAGATTAGCAAGGTGGAGCGGCAGGTGGAGGAGCTGCAGGTGAACCACACGGCGCTCCGTGAGCTACGCGTGATCCTGATGGAGAAGTCTCTGATCATGGAGGAAAACAAGGAGGAGGTGGAGCGGCAGCTCCTGGAGCTCAATCTCACGCTGCAGCACCTGCAGGGTGGCCATGCCGACCTCATCAAGTACGTGAAGGACTGCAACTGCCAGAAGCTCTACTTAGACCTGGACGTCATCCGGGAGGGCCAGAGGGACGCCACGCGTGCCCTGGAGGAGACCCAGGTGAGCCTGGACGAGCGGCGGCAGCTGGACGGCTCCTCCCTGCAGGCCCTGCAGAGCGCCGTGGACGCCGTGTCCCTGGCTGTGGACGCTCACAAAGTGGAGGGCGAGAGGGCGCGAGCGGTCACGGCGCGGCTCCGGAGCCAAGTGCAGGCGCTGGATGGCGAGGTGGGAGCGCTGAAGGCGGCCGCGGCCGAGGCCCGCCTCGAGGTGCGCCAGCTGCACAGCGCCTTCGCCGCCCTGCTGGAGGACGCGCTGCGGCACGAGGCGGTGCTGGCCGCGCTCTTCGGGGAGGAGGTGCTGGAGGAGATGTCTGAGGAGGCGCCGGGACCGCTGCCCCTGACCTATGAGCAGATCCGCGTGGCCCTGCAGGACGCCGCCAGCGGGCTGCAGGAGCAGGTGCTCGGCTGGGATGAGCTGGCCGCCCGAGTGGCGGCCCTGGAGCAGGCCTCGGAGCCCCCGCGGCCGGCAGAGCACCTGGAGCCCAGCCACGACGCGGGCCGCGAGGAGGCCGGCACCACCGCCCTGGCCGGGCTGGCGCGGGAGCTCCAGCGCCTGAGCAACGACGTAAAGCGTGTCGGGCGGTGCTGCGAGGCCGAGGCTGAGGCCGAGGCCGAGGCCGGGGCTGCCTCCCTCAACGCCTCCCTTGACGGCCTCCACGACGCACTCTTCGCCACCCAGCGCAGCTTGGAGCAGCACCAACGGCTCTTCCACAGCCTCTTTGGGAACTTCCAAGGACTCATGGAAGCCAACGTCAGCCTGGACCTGGGGAAGCTGCAGACCATGCTGAGCAGGAAAGGGAAGAAGCAGCAGAAAGGCCTAGAAGCTCCCCGGAAGAGGGACAAGAAGGAAGCGGAGCCTTTGGTGGACACGCGCGGCACAGGGCCTGTGCCGGGTGCCTTGGGCGCGGCGCTCTGGGAGACAGGTGAGTTCCTGGACCGGGGAGACCGGACGAGTCTAGGAGGCCAGGGCGGGCTGGCGGCAGCTCTTCTGCCTCCAAGAGGGCCAGGAAGAGAGAGAACAGCATGGCCATCGGTCACCCCATTGGGTCCACCTTCCCTTTGGCCCACCTGCTTTTCAGGGGTGTGGGCCTCTCAAGCTACCTGGCTTATGGGGAGACAGGAGAAGTCACAAAAACCACCTGCTAGTGCCATAGCCCGTGAACGGCAGAGCCTGGAGGCCACACGCACACCAGGGCCGTGTACTGCTGCAGAGAGGGGAGCGCCTCCTGCCCTGCCAGGGCAGCCCTCAAGTCCTCGCATCTCAACTCTTCACGTCACCCCCTTCATTCCCATGTGCGTTTAAGCCACTGTATCTAGGTAGAATGTGGCTAGGGACTGCAGCCACTTGCAGCCCCACTTAGCTACTGTTTCACTTTCCATGATTTTAGTTTCTTTTTTCTGTTTTTTTTTTTTTTTTTTTTTTTTTTTTTTTTTTTTTTTTTTTTTTTTTTTTTTGAGATGCCTCTCACTTTGTTGTCCAGGCTTGAGTACAGTGGTGGGATCATGGCCCACTGCAGCCTCGACCTTCCCAGGCTCAGCTGATCCTCCCACTTCAGCCTCCAGAGTAGCTGGGACTTACAGGCATGTGTCACCATGCCTAGCTAATTTTTGTACTTTTTGTAGAGATGGGGTCTTGCTATGTTGCCCAGGCCGGTCTCAAATTCCTGGGCTCAAGCAATCTGCCCACCTCAGCCTCCTAAAGTGTTAGGATTACAGATGTGAGCCATGTGCCCAGGCTTGATTTCAGTTTCTTGCATCAACCACGATGAGAAAATAGGTGAGTACAGTAAAATAAGATTTTGAGAGAGGGAGAAACCACATTCATATAACTTTTATTGCAGTATATTGTTATAATTGCTTTATATTTTATTATTGTCATTAATCTCTTACTGTGCCTAATTTACAAGTTAAACTTTGGCATAGGTATTTACATAGAGGGGAAAAAAAGTATATATTGGGTTTAGTACTGTCTGAGATTTCAGGCACCTGCTAACGTCTTGGAACACACCTTAGTGGACTGTACAGGGAAAGCCACGGGCGCTGTAAGGAGCTCATTCCCTCTGCAAATACAGTTAACCTGTCTCACCGCTCTGTGCTAGTCCCCTTCCTGGGCTTCACCACAATGATCCATCCCAAAAGGTCAATGACACACTCATCAGCACTACCACCTTATTTGAAACTGAGGCACAAACAGAAGTTTCCTGCTTGCACAGCTAGTGAGCAGCAGAGGAGCACTGTCTTTAGGGTGCTCGTTCTTCCCCTCCAAAAGGCTCTCCATGGCTGGTCCCTGCAGGGCCCTGGGCCTGGGAGCTGGCTTTGAGGTTGAAGGGATGTGCGACCAAGCTTCCCATCCCCTCCCTGAGTGTGGTCCTGGGAGGGGGACAACTAGGCTCTGTGTTTCAAGTGACTCTCTCTGTCAGAGGCTGGCCTTGGAGCTGTGGCCACACCCCACCCACACACAGGGCTAAGTACAAGGCCACCATCTTAGCCATGGCCATGCGCAGCCTGGCGTGTGGCAAGTCCAAGGCCTTGTTGAAGGTCCCGTCCCAGGCAGCCCCTGCCCCTGCTGACCCTCCCTATGGCCCAAGAGGCAATGTGGAACAGTGGGAAGCACCCAGGCTCTGGCATCACTTGTCTGCTTCTTCCTCAGTAAAATGGCAGAATCCCTACCCACGTCAAAGTTGTGTTATGAAGACTGCTGCGTTTACCAAATACCTAGCACGAAGCTTACCTCATGTAGGAATGCAGTCAACGTTTTCCCATTTCCCCAGCATTTTCAGGGTCCAGGCTGTGTCCACCTACACTGACACTTCTCTCTTGTTTCCTCTTGTGGTGGTGCAAGGCTTCAATATGCTGATGACTTTCAGAATTTGCCTGATGGTTTGGAAATGTGTTTACCATGACGATATTTATTTCAAAAAAATGTTTTCCTTCAAAACAAATTTCCAGGCCGGGCGCAGTGGCTCATGCCTTTAATCCCAGCAGTTTGGGAGGCTGAGGCGGGTGGATCACCTGAGGTCAGGAGTTTGAGACCAGCCTGGCCAACATGGTGAAACCCCATTTCTGCTAAAAATACAAAATTAGCCAGGTGTGGTGGTGGGCGCCTGTAATCCCAGCTACTCAGGAGGCTGAGACAGGAGAATCACTTGAACCTAGGAGGCAGAGGCCGCAGTTAGCCGAGATTGCGCCACTGCACTCCAGCCTGGGCAAGAAAAGCAAAACTCTGTCTAAAAAAAAAAAGAATTAGCCACGTGTGGTGGCAGGCACCTGTAATCCCAACTACTTGGAAGGCTGAGGCAGGAGAATCGCTTGAACCTGGGAGGCAGAGGTTGCTGTGAGCCAAGATAGCTCCACTGCACTCCAGCCTGGGGGACAGAGTAGGAGTCTGTCTCAAACACAGACACACACCCACACACACCCCAAATTTCCCTTTGTCTGTAGGAAGGCTGTAGGGCTTCAATGTGTGCCCTGCAGGGAAGCACACTCTGAGTTTGCACAGCCCTTCGAAGCCACATCTTAGGGCCTGTCTGGCGAAAGGCTGGGTTGAGGGGGTCTCCCTCTGCGGCGAAACTCCCTGCGCAGGCGCCCGGATGGAACGGCCGGAACAAGGGCCTAGCACCGGTAGAGGGCGCTGCGGGCCGGCCTGCCTTTGGCTAGGCGAGAGACCCACCTGCTGGGTGTTAGGGGAATTGCAGAGGCAGCCGCTGGCCTCTGACTTGGCACAATCTTTTTTTTTTTTTTTTGAGACGGAATTTCACTCTTGTTGCCCAGGCTAGAGTGCAATGGCGCCATCTCGGCTCATCGCAACCTCCGCTTCCCAGGTTCAAGCGATTCTCATGCCTCAGCCTCCAGGGTAGCTGGGATTACAGGTATGCGCCACCACGCCTGGCTAATTTTGTATTTTTAGTAGTGATGGGGTTTCTCCATGTTGGTCAGGCTGGTCTCGAGCTACCGACCTCAGGTGATCCGCCTGCCTTGGTCTCCCAAAGTGCTGAGATTACAGGCGTGAACCACTGCGCCCAGCTGACTTGACACAATCTTAACACAAATGGGAAAGCTATTCTCAACTGTCTAATTCTCAGAAAATCTTCCAGAACTAGAGGAAAGCAACATTTTTTAATTCAAAAGTCTTGCTGAATTGGGAGTCAAAGAGCTGAGGCTCAAGTTCCGGGAGCCAAGTCAGTAATTGCTCAGCAAACTGCTCCTTTACAGGCTTTGGTTTCATCACCTAAGAAGTGGGGACCTTGTTTTAAACCCCTACAGAGGGAGCAGGTTGAGGAACCCCACGGTAGACATGACCTCGTTGGTGCCAAGGCCAGTGTCACAGCCAGGACCCAAGTAGGACTCACCCTTCCTGTGCCGTCTCCTGACCCTGTCCCCCCCACCTGCCCAACCATGCTGGCCAGGCAGCACGACTGGCTTCTTCCTGGCTGTTTGTGCACCCTCCACCATGGCAGCTTCCTCTGCCTCTGCCCGTGCATGGGCCCAGCACCAGTGTTCTGTCGGTGTTCCTGTCCTAAGGCTGGCCAAAGTGCTCCCTGCAGAGAACCAGAAGTCAAGAGATTCAAGGTCTGCTCCCAGGAGGCTTGATAATTTACTAGTTGTGTGGTCTGGAGCAACAAGCTTTTTCTTTCTGGGCCTCAATTTACCCATATGTAATCTCAGGGCTCTGTGCAACATTTTGAAAAACCACATTAAGATGACCAGCTCACACCTGTAATCCCAGCACTTTGCGGGGCTGAGGTGGGAGGACCGCTTGAGCCCAGTCTGGGCAACAGAGCAAGACTCTGTCTCTACAAAAAATGAAAAATTAGCCAGGCATGATGGCGCGTGCCTGTAGACCTAGCTACTCAGGAGGCTGAGGTGGGAGGATTGCTTGAGCCCAGGAAGTTGAGGCTGCAGTGAGCCATGATCTCAATGCACTCCAGTCTGGGCAACAAGAGACCATTTATCAACTAAAAAAAAAGACCAGCTTGAAGGGGCTTCTCTTCCCTGGCTTCACCTGCTCTTTCCTTCTGTCTCCAAGGTTCTGTCTTCAACATCCAGGAGGAGGATCCAGCCTTCATAGCTCTGCAAATACCTTCCCAGTGTTAGCATTATTATTACCTTGAGAATGGATATTTTCTCCCTTTCCCCTGAGTATCTCAAGATTCCTAGCAGGTAGTGGTCTGGGAGTCAGAGACCCGTGTTCCCATCCCAGCCTGCCATTTACAAACCATGTAACCTTGGGCAGCCGGTGAAGGATTCAACCTGTTTTGTCAATCGGGAATACTGTCTCTCAAGGAAGGTGGAAGGAAAAGGAATCAAACGAGAAAGTGCTTTGTGGCTGGGCATGGTGGCTCACCTGTAAGCCTAACATTTTGGGGGCTGAGGCTGGAGGATCACTTGAGCCCAGGAGGTTGAGATCAGCCTGGGCAACATAGTAAGACTCCATCTCTATGAGAAAAAAAAAAGGCGGGGGGCTGCAGTGTCATGACCGCCACTGCACTCCAACCTGGGAGACAGAGTGAGACCCTGTCTCAAAAAAAAAAAAAAAAAAAAGAAAAAGCGTTTTATTAAAATGTTAATCAGCTGAGACAACAGACTTGCATTTTCCTTCCTCTCAGTTAGTAAAAAACTGAGAATTGGCCATCTAGCTCTGCTCCTGCAATAACACTGCTGTTGCGAATATCTAGGTTATCTAGAAATAGTGACCTACTTCCAGTGCTAATAAGGTGAGGACGGCGGGGCTCAGGGTTTAATTTCCCACCCAATGGTGTAAGGGATGAGTCACTGAGCACTTTCATGTTTCAGGATCCCCTGTGGCCTTCTATGCCAGCTTTTCAGAAGGGACGGCTGCCCTGCAGACAGTGAAGTTCAACTCTACGCACATCAATGTTGGCAGCAGCTACTTCCCTGAACATGGCTACTTCCGAGCCCCTGAGCGTGGTGTCTACCTGTTTGCAGTGAGCGTTGAATTTGGCCCAGGGCCAGGCACTGGGCAGCTGGTGTTTGGAGGTCACCATCAGACTCCGGTCTGTACCACTGGGCAGGGGGGTGGAAGCACAGCAACGGTCTTTGCCATGGCTGAGCTGCAGAAGGGTGAACGAGTGTGGTTTGAGTTAACGCAGGGATCAATAACAAAGAGAAGCCTGCCGGGCACTGCATTTGGGGGCTTCCTAATGTTTAAGACCTGAAGCCAGCCCCGATCTGATCAGACATCATGGACTCGCCCAGCTCTCCCTGGCATGGGACTCTGGCCAAGGATGGGCAGGAGGTCATTCAGTTGGTCTGTCTTTTCCCTGGAAACCTTCTGCAAAGACAGTGTGGTGTATGTGGCCTCCCTCTAGCTGCACGGGGCTTGGCCACTTCTCCAGGATGAAAAGGACTGGAATGCTTCTCCGGACAGGACATGGTCCTAGGAAGCCTGAACCTTGGCTTGGCATGCCTTCTCAGACAGCCTGGCCTGGGCTCCAACTCTTCGCCACACCCTGTATTCTACAACTTCTTTGGTATTTTGCTCCTCCTGTGGTTGGAAACTTCTGTACAACACTTTAAACTTTTCTCTTGCTTCCTCTTCTCTTCTCCCTAATCGTATGATAGAAAGATATTCTTTCCCAGGAAGAATGTTTAAAATGGAGGCAACATTTTGGCCAACACTGGAAAGCACTAGAGGGCAATGGGATTAAACCAACCTGCTTGGTCTTTATTAGTAATGGAGATGACAGTCTGGCCAATCAAGGGAAAGGAAATTAGTACCTTTAGTTTCAGTCATTCCTTGTATGATATGGTTTGGCTGTGTCCCCACCTGAAATATCATCTTGAATTGTAATCCCTATAATCCCCACATGTCAAGGGAGAGATCAGGTGGAGGTAATTGGATCTTGGGGCAGTTCCCCCATGCTGTTCTCGTGATAGTGAGTTCTCATGAGATCTGATGATTTTATAAGTGTTTGGTAGTTCCTCCTGTGTTCATTCTCCTTCCTGCCACCTTGTGAAGAAGGTGCCTTGGTTCCTCTTTGCCATGTGCTGTGATTGTAATAAGTTTCCTGAGGCCTCCCCAGCCTTGAGGAACTGAGTCAATTAAACCTCTTTCCTTTATAAATTACCCAGTCTTGGGCAGTTCTTTATAGCAGTGTGAAAATGGACTAATACATTTGTATTAATCTGTAATTTAAATTTCATGTCTCTTTCTCCTTGCCTTACATAAAGGCCAAGACATGCCAAACATGAACTAAAATGTGTAGGGCCTTCACCTTTTTTACTTCCTCCAGTATCTTGGGACCACGTAATTCTTGTTAGCATCTCTAACCAGGAGGCAGCTGAGGGAGGAGGGAAGGAAGACTGTAAAAAATCCCCCTCAATGATGATCAAATTTGGAATAAAGTGATGCCCTTCAAATCTCTGCCTCATTTACTTCTGGAGGGCAAAAATAATTGGTAGAGTAGGTAGAAAAATATGGGACAATGTGAAACTATGTGGGTAAATGTGACTTTGATTATTCCAGGCCCTGTTATGTAGAATGATTTCAGTTCTACAGTATACAGATACAGTATATTCCTGTAATATACCAGCATACGGTTTTCAAAAAATTTCAGATCCTAGAGCAAATTGGCCTGAGAAAGCAGTCGTCTGGCTATCAGAAACAAGGGTTTTTTTGATATTAGGTACTCAAAATTTGTTGAATATAGTCTTCTCAGATTGCTGAGGCAGGAGAATTGGTTGAACCTGGGAGGCGAAGGTTGCAGTGAGCTGAGATCGTGCCACTGCGCTCCAGCCTGGGAGACAGAGCAAGACTCCATCTCAAACAAACAAACAAACAAAAATTCAGATTGAACTTGGTAGTGAGTTGCTTGTTGGCGTTAACAAGGTTACCAGCACTTCTAATTGTTCGCTAGGAGTCATTACTTCACTTGTTCCTCAGAATTTATTTATCACTAAGTTTTACGCACTCAATGTGCATTGGTGTTAGAAGGAACAGTATGCCAGGCCACACTGCTGACTAAAGTTTGACCTGGGGTAAATCACAACCTCTCTTGAACTTTATCTGTCTGTAGAGTGTGAGGTGGTTGATCTTACAGCTCTCGTTAGTTATTCTGGCTTTTTTTTTTTTTTTTTTTTGAGACGGAGTCTTGCTCTATCACTCAGGCTGGAGTGCCATGGCGTGATCTCGGCTCACTGCAACCTCCGCCTCCCGGGCTCAAGCAATTCTCCTGCCTCAGCCTCCCAAGTAACTGAGATTAGAGGCACCTGCCACTATGCCCGGCTAATTTTTGTATTTTTAGTAGAGACAGGGTTTCACCATGTTGGCCAGGCTGGTCTTGAATTCCTGACCTCAAATGATCCACCCGCCTCAGCCTCCCAAAGTGGTGGGATTACAGGCGTGAGCCACCACGCCTGGCCTCTGGCATTTTATTATCTTAAACACAGGTTTAAATATCACCCACCCCCAGCGCAGTTGGCCACGCCAGAACAAAGACTGGAAGCCCAGTAGCAGGTGAGCCTTGGTGCTGCAGACCGTGCTGCTGTCTTCTTTCTGCTCAGTCGTGCAGTGACTGGTCAGGCTCTGCTGATAACAGTTGAGACATTAGGTAATGCAGTGTTATCCTCTGGAAGTTACTGCCCATAGTGAGTGAAGTGAACTGACCCCTTCCGGAAGGCGTACATGCCATCCAATCCGTATGCATTTGGTCCTCTTTGACAGGAAGGTTATACGTGAAAGTGCTAATAGGCAAGCTCTGCCAACAGCATGGATGTGTCACTCCAGAAGTTTCTGGGATGAGAACTAGAGAAATAATTGTTCTTTTAGACAGGGAATTTTCCATGCAAAAAAACATATATGACTGTATTTCACAAAACCTTAACATCAAGTTTAAGGGCAAATTTTCTGTTTAAACGGACCCCAGATTAGCAATAATTCTCAAGTTCATCTGATAGACTTCCTGTCTCCGCCTGGGTGGAGGCTCCTCCTGACTGTCCTGCAAGCAGACCCCCCCGTTACCCAGACCACTGGTCAGCACCCTCACTGTGGCACCCAAAACAACACAAGGGACGGAGCACATGGTGGTACCTGCAAACCTGATGTGGAAAAAATATTTTAAAATCCCCAAATCGGTGGCTCATGCCTGTAATCCCAGCACTTGGGAGGCCGAGGCGGGCGGAACACCTGAGGTCAGGAGTTCAAGACCAGCCTGGCCAACGTGATGAAACCCCGTCTCTACTAAAAATACAAAAATTAGCCAGGCGTGGTGGCGGGCGCTTGTAATCCCCACTACTTTGGAGGCTGAGGCAGGAGAATCACTTGAACCCAGGACGCAAAGGTTGCAATGAGCCGAGATCGAGCCATTGCACTGCAGCTTGAGCGACGACAGCGAAACTCCATCACAAAAAAAAAAAAAAAAAAAAAAAATCCCCAATCGAAAAACAAGAGATGGTACCATAGGTACATCAGGACATTTCAGTAATTCCTGAAAAATAGAAGGGATCAGGTCTGAAATGAAACAGCAATAGGAAGTCATGACCCCAAACATGTGAGACTGCTGGGGAGATGGGAGTGCTTTGCGGGGAGCCCCAAACTCAAACCCAGCCCTTGAGACATGTTGAGGACGCAAGGGTTGAAAAAGTAACTGTTGAGTACTATGTTCAGTATCTGGGTGATGGCATCGTTCATACCACAAACTTTAGCATCACACAACATACCTAGGTAACAGACCTGCACATGTAGCCCCTGAATCTAAAATAAAAGTTGAAAAAAACAAAAACGAAAACCAACCCTAAAACAGTTCCACCATCACCACAAGGAAAAAAATAAAACACATACTTGGGGTCACTGAGTGCCAGAACTCCAGCCCTGCCATCAGCCCTGAACCCCAGGTACAGAGCAGCTGCTGGGCCTCTGGAAGCAGGGAGCCCCCACACCCTGACAAACACGCCCTTAACAAACCTGCAGGGGCCAATCCCAAGATGTCTCCAGAAACCACAATGTCAAAGTCACTCACTACTGTTAGATTTTATTTCAGAAGCAGCGTGAAGAGGCTACACAGCTCGTGACATGTTTCTTAGAACTCTTTTTCTCAGCCTCTGCACCCTCTGTTATCTCTTTAGCTCAAAAACAGAAAAGCTCTCCCCGCTGTAGCCTGAGCACCCTCCTTCCATCCCCTCCATCAAGAAAGCTCCCCAAACCTGGCTTGACAATGACTCAGCTCTCTTGGGGGGGTAGTGGAGGTAGATGAATGGAGCAGGGAAAGCCAGAATCCTTTTGAGAAGGAAAAGGGAAATGAGGCCGGCATGGTGGCTCATGCCTGTAATCATAGCCCTTTGGAAGGCTGAGGCAGGAGGATTGCTTGAGGCCCAAAGTTTGAGGTTGAAGTGAGCTATGACTGTGCCACTGTACCCCAGCCTGGGTGACAGAGTGAGACCCTATCTCAAACAAACAACCCAACCACACCCAAATAACAATTAGCAAAACTTCAGTAAGGTCTATAGATTATGGTATTGTTAGTTAATGCTATTGTATCAATGTGAACTTTCCTGGTTCTCATAATTGTACATAATTGGTTAAGTAATAGAACATCCCTGAAGTCTTTAGGGATAAAGGGTTGTTAGCTCTGTAATTTACTTCAAATAGGTCAGAAAAAAAAATGTGTGCATACACGATACACGGACATTACAAACATTACAAGATGAGTCTCTGTGATTCCTATACACACACACAGAATGACAAAGCAATTGTGCAATGTTAGCAGTTTATGAATCTGGGTGAAGGGTAAATGGCAGTCCTTATACTATTCATGAAACTTCAATGGAAGCCTGGAATCATTTCAAAATAAAACATTTGGCTGTTGAAATAAACACAGATGGGCTGACAAAAGTAGAAGGTAGGATGAAACATATGAGAAGCATGGTAACAATTATGGAAGAAACATCCAGGGGACCTAAGATTTGTCCTAGAAAGTTCTAGAAAAAGAAAAAGAAAAAAACAGGAAGAAACAAAAGAAATAATGGGAGAAAATTTCCCAGGTCTAAGAAAATACCCCATTAGTACTAAGCAACAGAATGAATATATTTAGATATGGCCAGTTTCAACTTCCAACATCAAGAATAAAAAGCAAATTCTATTTCTTGAAAATAAGTTAACCTGTATAACATGTCACTTATTAGATCCACATCAGACTTCTCACTGGCGACAAGGGATGCTAGAAGATAATGGAGTATCATCTTCAGAGTTAGATTCTGTCTCCAGCCGAACTCCTTGCCAAGTATTGCCCAGGATCAAGTAATAAAAATTGCTTTTAAAATGTCTGATTAAAATCTCTTCCACAGCAGTGTAGGTCTTTCGGTGGAGACTTCCTATTTTTTATGTTTTTCAACACTGACCTGCATTTCAGTGATACAGTAGAGCAACAGATGTCATCATCCGGATTCTAAATTGGCTTTTAAAAGTGGCTTCTCCCTTAAAGGAAAACAAGGGGGCCCAATTTTTTCTTCACGTTGCTTGTATATATATAATTACATACATATTTATTATATAATAATTATATATTTATTATATATTATAAATTATATATTTATAATATTTGTTGTTGTTTAGAGGCGGAGTCTTGCTCTGTTGCCCAGGCTGGAATGCAGTGGCGCAATCTCAGCTCACTGTAACCTCTGCTTCCTGGGTTCACGCAATTCTCCTGCCTCAGCTTCCCAAGGAGCTGGGATTACAGGCGTGTACCACCACACCCAGCTAATTTTTGTACCTTTTAGTAGAGACAGGGTTTCACTATATGTTGGCCAGGCTGCTCCTGACCTCAGGTGGTCTGCCCGCCTCGGCCTCCCAAAGTGCTGGGATTAGAGGAGTGAGCCACTGCACCCGGCCGAAGATATTTTCAATATAAACATTCCATATTGATTTTTAGATGTTAACACTTCAAGCTTCCTGCATAGTGTTTAGAATGTGAGCCAGGCATGGTGGCATGGTCCCAGCTAAGAGGCTGAGGTGGGAGGACAGCTTGAGATCAGGAGTTTGAGGCTACAGTGTATTATGATTGTGCCTGTGAACAGCCGCTGCACACTAGCCTGGGTGACAGTGTGAGACTGTCTCTAAAGAAGAAAAAATTAGGAAATGAGCACTGAGATGGATGTAGGGACACTGAGAGATAGGGAATTGACTTAGATTTCATTTGAACAAAGACCAAGAAGCTGCTAAGATTCAGAGGAGCAATAGGCAGGCCACACATATTCCATCAAAGAATGTGAATTAACAATTCCTATATCACAAGGAGATTATGGGCTGGGCACAGTGGCTCATGCCTATAATCCCAGCACTCTGGAAGGCCGAGGTGGGCAGATCTCCTGAGGTTGGGAGTTCAAGACCAGCCTGGCCAACATGGTAAACCCCGTCTCTACTAAAA